CTGTCAACCTCTCCACTGCATATCCTTACTTTTTCCTTTGTTTTAAATGACACCCAAAGCTCGCAGACCCTTATCCTTGACTCGAATGTCGACTCTTTTCATTTCGAGTGAAAGCTTTTAAGGAATAGCCCCTTTGGTCGATCCCACCAGATGCCAACGGCTGAGTCCTCTAGGCCAGCTGTCTCTTGTCTTAACGATGACCTTATAATTAGCTCCATCCTCGAGACGATCTTCTTCTATTTCGGTGGAAATGTACTTAGACTTCATTTTTTATGTGTTTTACAGAAACTATCAGAGTGCCTTTCCTACTGCCAACTCAAGCTAACTAGTCTATAAAATCGACTGACTTATTCACACACGGTTTTACTGGAACCAGGGGATCTTTTCTCGATAACGACTCCAACAGAAGGATTCCTCTGAAGCCCAACGATAGCTGGTCAAGAGGATTCAATCGTTGTCTGCTCGTAGGATCGGCCTACATTTGCACAGGAAATGGGAATGAGCGCAACAAGTGCAAACCGTGCGAGGCCCTTAAAAAGTCTCTTCTAGTATGCACGGCCTCAGGAGAGAAAAAATTTCGTTACTCGAACTCTACAATGCCGTTTCACTAGCTTATGGCTCATCCACTCTGTAGTTCACTTGGCTCCGCACACTTGGTCGACATCTCCACCATCAATTGCTTTATCCGCTGTCTTCTCTTGTACAGCATAGACCAATTTTGTCCGGACCTGAGTAACCCAATCGTAGACGGTTTATCTACCATTCGGGGCATGAGACCGAAATTTGTTTATTTCTCTTTGCCGCCTATCGACGATTCTGACTAAATGCTGCACTCATCTGTATGAGGGGTCGCCACGCAGCCTGTCACACGTCCAAACACCGTGGGGCATCGGCGTCTGTCCTACTCCGGGTGACTGCTTCATACTTTGGTGCAACAACAACACGAATTTAATATAGCTGCCTATAGTACAGAATTCCTATGTGCACTTTACCTAACCAAGATCGGCTCCCGGCCGTACCTTTTTATCTTCAAACCACTCTTAGACTTGAGTATTGTCTATCTTGCGGTCTTTTGCCCATCTCCACTTACTCTAATCTTGCGAAATATCCCCTTCCTTTAAACAAGTGGGTTCACCTCATTTTCGCAACTTGGTCTTGTTGTCAGGACGATTTAGTTGGCCCGAAGTCCTCTGCCATAGTAGTTATCATAATTCCCAGCGTCTGATCGTGGGCTTGGTACATTCTCAGACGTTTCACCGGCATCGTAGCCGGCATCATCAGTCAGTCTTGTCATTCTCAGCACCAAGCTACTACTCATCAAATAGACAAGAAGAGTAGTATCTTGGTGCGGAGAATGGCAAGGTTTACTGATGATGCCGATTACGATGCCGGCGAAACGTCTGAGAATGCACCAAGTCCAGTGTCAGACGCTGGGAATTATGATAACTACTATGGCAGAAGACTTTTGACAAGGCGCGTCCAACTAAGTCGCCATGACAACAAGACCAAGCTGCGAAAACGAGGTGAACCCATTTCTATGGACATCGAAAGGAGACTGTGACCATACGGTTGGCCGCACCATCTTGGACTTCATATCTTTTGTTCACGGAGGCATCCAAAGGCGTATGTATCTCAAGCTTGTGTGAACTGAGCTCTGAAGGGAAGTGGCCACGGGGAGTTAAGTGTCAGCTTGAGGGGAGGAGAAGCCGAGAGGCGGTCTTCTCAAGAGGTTTAATTATTGTTGGCCTATTTTCGACTTGGATGCCCTATAGCTGCCTCGTGAACCGAGTTTACAAGGGGCACTCTTGTCAATATAATCGTTCCATTGGCCAATTGCTGCCGTGTGTTTAAAAGGGGAAAACCCGGCTTCTCTTTGCTTCAAGTCACCAGCTCTTAGTGCTGCCAGGCCAAGGTTGTGAAGGCTGTGACTCATTTTGAAAATTGATTTCCATTAACTATCAAGTTTCCTTTGCTCTGGACGCCTTATGTTCAGAAGCAAATTGTAGACTGACTGGTTAGCCGACCAACCTTGCCGACGCTAGGCGATGTACCCACTTGTCCGGTGAATTTGGGAACTATTAAGCAGGCAAAATGCCATGAATATGCTCTGAAATACACATCTGTATCATAGTTAACTGTCTCTGGGGCCGGGCGGTCGAGGAGGCATGGGTTTGTCCTGGAGCCTGAGCATTCTGGAAGTGAATCTGGCTTGAAGAGTTGAATTGATGTGTTGCACGCTCGCGTCTAGCACACGTCTAGCTTTGAGGTCGTGAGTGTCAAATGCATACTTATTCGGCGCATAAATACGCTTTATTTGGCTAATCGTACTCTTTCGGGACCCACGCTCGGGACCATTGTAACTGCAACCATCATGCATGGCATGACAAAAGCTGGGTTTCGATGATCTCTCTACAGACTTCTCTTTGGTATATCTTTTTTCCTATTTTGCTTATTTGATGAAAGGAATTCGCAGATTGAGGTGTGCTTTTGTTTCTAGATTTCTTGCTCGTTGTGGAGGTATAACAGGCTTTATTTAATGATTATATTTAACTGAAAGACAAGATCTTCGAGGCTACCTTCAGTTTCCATGGGTTCATCTTCAAATAGAGAGAGAGAGAGATTAGTGACAATGCCTAACTTGTTTATCCCGTTATAAGGTTTATGGGGGCATTGAAATTAGCTCTACATGTCGGAACAATTGTACTCGTCTAAACGATTGAGCATGAGACCATGAACATCTTTTTGGGATGATTCACAGACCTGCTGCTTCAGCGGTCAGAGAATACAATTCAAACCAACCCGAACGTAGTTCCAACAGAGGACGACAATCGGTTCCTCTTTGCAAGCCATCAGTCGGCTTCGCAGGAACATTCTGGCTGGCGCACTATTCAAACAGCTTTCTTCGGTTTCGGTGAAAGTTGAATAACTTTCTGCTGTCAAGGGGGAGAGATATCACAACTGGAAACTGGAATGTTCCAGCTGTCCAAGAGGAATCCACCGTCGCCTTCTGGTCAAATCAACCCATAAGGCTCTTTATCGTTTACTTTCCGTAGAAACGGAAGTGTTTCAACAATTATCAAACAAGAGACTCAGCAGAGGCAAATTTTATATACAGGCTCTATCCTCATCACAAAGTTAGGTTATACAATCTAGGGGGTATTTCATCTGGCCACCATTATCGGCGAATCTCGGAAAAAATCGTTTCATGCTCTAATGTTGTTTGTCAGGGGACAGACGAAAGCTCTGTACTATTTGACGAGGATCGTTCGAATTGCTTTCTTCTTGTGATCTTGATGAGGCATGTTGCGATTTATTTGACTGATGCTTGCCTGCTTCCTTCACCGCA